CAGGGCCTGGTGCAGGACACCAGCCTCTGGAGACCAATGAGAGTGGAAGTGGCGCAGGGCAGGTGTGGGTGGGCCGGTCCCCCTGCAGGGGGGCCTTGGCACCCCTTCTCCACCTGCCCCAGCTTGGGTCTGTGTTCCCAGAGAGCAGGCACTCCTGGGTCTGGGCTCCCAGAACAAGCCACCGACTGTCAGGTGCCCACAGCCGACTCTGGGCTCTGCCAGGCGGGGAGGGAGGGGCTGGAGGGGATGAGAGGGCCTTTGTTTCCTTCTGTTTGTGTCAAGATGGGAATCGACTTCCTCCCACTAAGGCGGCCTCCTCGAGGTGTAAGGGAAGGGCAGCCCCTGGCGGGTGCGGGTCTGCGGTCTGCCATTGGAGGGTGGGGCATTTCCCTGGGCCTCCACTTCGCGCCCCCTTCCATCCCCCTCCTTCCTCTGAGCATGCTCTCCCACCAGACCTGGGTCGCTGAGCCGTGGTTAAATATTTGCTAACCGAGAAGAGCTTTAAAGGCAGCTTTGTAAGGGATCCTGGCCGGCCCCTCCTGGTCCCGCTGCCTTGCCCCAAAGCTGCCTTCGTGCCGGGAGACCCGGCTCAGCCTCTACCCGGCTCAGCCTCCCTCCCAGGCCTCCGGGGCCACCATTTTGGCATCCGAAACTGGGTGGCCTTCCACCGCGGGTTGTTCATTCAGCACTCGTTTGTCGAGCACCTGTCTGGGCCAGACGTGAGCCTGGCACTGGGTCTCTGTGTCACCACCGCCCCCTGCCCCCCACAGACGGTCACGGTGGTTGCAAAAACCATCAAGGCTGTGGTGGTGGAGACTTCGGGGCACTGGACCTGTCCTGGCGGGGGTGGTCCTGAGGAGGTGACGTCCAAGCCGGGGGAGGAGATGGCCAGGCGGAGAGGGTGGGCTCAGGGAGAGGGTTCCAGGCCAGAGACCCCAAGACCAGAGGCAGTTTTTCTCACTGGGTGCTGAAGCCCCAGACTCCTCTCCCCAGGCTGCTCTCAGGAGGAGCTGGGCCACTGACAAGGCTAGGGGGCCCTGGCTGCCTCTTCCCCACTCCCCCAGCCTTGGTTTCCCCATCTGTCCAATGGAGAGCTTGGACTTGATCTCAGAGGGCCCTTCCCAGGTCCGGTGGCCTGTTTTCAGCGTATGTGCCTGGCCCATTAATGAGGGAACACGCTAGAGCAGGGGTTCCACAGGTGCTGAAGGTTAAGATCACAGCCACGAACCTTTATAAGGCTCACGTGGCCCTTTGTTAGCAGCAAAACCAACATCTCCTGAGGGCGCTTTGACTGTTAACGACAGAAGCTAACATCTCCCGAGGACCCCTAGTCACTGAGTGAGGAGGGAGGGGGAAACTATCACCTTATGCCCGTTTTACAGACGAGGAAACTAAGGCCCAGAGAGGCCATTCTGAGCTCCGCGTTTGCTTCTTGCCTCGAGCTTGGCCCCAGAACACACCTGCCTCTGTGAGAAACCCACTCTCCTCTCCCAAGGCTGGTGCCGCGCTGAGCTCCTGGGATACAGATGTGACCGAGATGCCACCCTGACCTGGGGAGCTGCCAGGCGAGTGGGGAAATGTTGCCAGAGAGTCAACAGGGACTCCTGACTTGCACAGTTCTAGGTACTGGGGTAGAGTGGTGAACAGAGGCTGGCTCGGCTTCATGTCCCGGTTTTGCTCTTGCCTGTGTGAGGTTGGGGAAATCACGTTTCTGAGCCTCCGTTTCCTCATCTATAAATGGGTTTAACGGTAAATCTGGGTGAGGGTTGAATGAAATAATGTTGACGATAATTGCTAACGTAGATGGGAGCTGCCTTCGTGGCTGGCATTGGGCTAAATGTTACATGCATTAGCTCATGCCCCACTTATTATTATAATTCTGTGCAAATGGGAAACCGCAAAGCATTGTGATGGAGGAGATGATGTCTGAGTAGGGCCCTGAAGTGTGGCTAGGAGTCTGAACTGTGGAAAAGAGGGGGAAGGGAGCTTCAGGCAGAGGGCACAGCACAAGTGAAAGCGTGGAGGTGGGAAGGTGGGACATTGGGGAGGGAGGGAGGATTGAGATCCTGAAACTGATTTGGCGCGATGTTTGCGGGCGGCAGTGCACCAGGCCCCATGGCAGGTGCTGAGAGAATTCGGTGATGGATGAGCCTTGGTCTCTGGGGTCCGGCGAGAGCCTTTACAAAGTGCTTCGCGTGACTGTCTCCTGTACGTTTCCACCGCCCAGAGAGCCTGGGTTCGAGTCCCAGCTTGGATTTGGGGTTCTCCACTTGACAGCTGGCTGGTCTTGGACAAGCCACTGGGCCTTACAGCCTCTGTGTCCTCAGTGGGGGTGTTACCTGTACCCACTTGCTGGGGCTGTTGCCAGGGCTCAAAGTGTGGCAGATCCCCCTGCAGGGTGCTGGGCATCACCAGCTGGCATTTTGCTTCACCAGCTGTGTGAGGCCGGGTAGGCTCCTTGGCTGCCCCATGCTTCCGTTTCCCGCTCTGTCCTCGGGGGTGATGAGGACCCTCCTTCTCGGGGCTGTCTTGATGTCCCACATGAAGCACGGAGCCGGCGCACTGTCAGGTGTCCATTGTTGCCGGGCCTTGGCGTGCTGGGGGCTGCTGGATTACGGAGTGAGGCTTTTCCTTGTTCATAACTGGCCCCAGGGAAGGGGTGACCCAGCAGAGGCTCCCTGCGGGGCACCTGAGGCCAGCAGGGAGGAAGCCTCGAGGGTGGCAGCCACCTTCCCCAGGAGGAAGGACAGCATGGTGCACATTCTCATGGCCCCGGGACCCAGCCGCGGCCCCGGGTCGGGCATCCCTTTCTGTGCTGAGGAATCTCTGGGGCGGGTGTGGAGCTGCGCTGCTCAGTGTGGGCGGTGGCTCCCCACCGGGGCGGGGCAGGGCGGGGGCCCCGGCTCAGGACCTCTGCCTCTGGCCTCTCACTCGGGGCTTCCTTCCTGTTCCTCCTTTGTGCCAGGTCCTGTCCCAGATGTGGTGGGTACTGCCTGGGGGTATGAGACAGGGCACAGGCCTTACCCACTGTGGAATCAGGGGAGAGGGGGGAGGTCCCACCCAGCCTGGGGACATCCCGGGGGAAGGGATGGTGCGGTGGAAAGTGAGAAGGGAGGGGGTGTCCCTGACCCGGAGGGACCCCACGGGGAGGAAGGGCACCCAGGGGTCTGCGGGCATGCCGAGGAGCTTGATCTTTGTCATAAAGGCAGTGGGAACTGTGGAAATTTTTGAGCAGGGGAGATTCAGGGTGAGAGCTGTAACAAAAAGATCCCCGTGGTTCCTGTGTGTGGGAAGGATCAGAGGGAAACGGGAAGCCGAGGGGGTAGAAATTTGGAGGCCGTGGCAGGGGTACGATGGGAGGGGCCTGGTGTGGAGGTGGGCTGAGCTATACTGGCCTCTCGACCAGCCCGTGGGCAGCTGGGACGCCCACCTCACCCTGATGGCCTTGCTCTGGGGAGCAGGACACGGCTGGGGTGGGAATCCTCTTGGCTCCAGAAGTCGGGTGACCCTGGATCAGTCCCTCGCCCTTGCTGGGTGCTGTCGCCCTTATGGACAAGGACTGGCCTGGCCGGGGGCACCCAGCTGTCCTGTCCCCTCCTGGCTCTGCAGGCTTCCAGCTGCTGGTTCAGGCTCTTCTCACGGGTGGGCTGCCAGCCCTCCTCTCCTGCTGGCCGATGGAGCCTGTCATTACCCGCCTTCCACCAGCTTCGCCCCCCGATTACAGGAGCCCCGTCGGCCACCCACAGGGCCAGTGCTGTGGGGCGCCCCAGGGGCTGGCAGTCTGGAAGGTGGGGGTGAGATGCATTTGCCCAAACTTTTGTTCCCTGTTAACACTCAGACTGTTCTGGGTCCGTATAATTTATAAGCTGTGTGTCCTTGGAGGAGTCACTTAAACTCTCTGAATTTCAGTTTTCTACTATGTAAAGTGGGGACAACACATAGAGTAACTCGTGTAACGTGCAGCCGTCCTGGGTCCAGAGGAGCTGCTGAGCGAGCGGCTGTTGCTGTTATGTGTTAGTAATGATAATACGGGGTGTTGAGCAGAAAGGCCCTGGGCCAGGCACTGAGGGCTGGCATGCCGACCCAGCTCTGTCAGGACGTGCTGTGTGACCCTGGGCGAGTGTCTCCACTGCTCTGGACCTCAGGCTTCCCTGGCTGAGCCAGGTAGATGATGGAGATGGTGGTACTTCGGACAACTCCGTGACACAGGGATGCTCAGTCCCTGCCCCCACTCTGCCTCTGCTGTCCCTTTGGCTCTGGGGTGGGTGGGGTTGGTATCCCCAAGTGCCTCCCCCACCTTCCCGCCCCCGGGCCTGATCCCCTGGGCTCTGGGAACCAGGCAGGCAGGTTGTGGCCCTGCCCCACCCTACAGGGTGCTGCCCTCCTGGTTTCAGTCGGCAAATCTCTCAGCCCTGATACGGGGCTGGGCTCTTGGGTGAGGTGTGTTCCTGGAGCCCACTGGAGGGACCGGATGAGCCAGGGATGGGTCTGGCACAGTGCCCTCAGCTCGGGCCAATCCAGGGCTGGGACCGGCGTGAAGCCCCCATGGTTGGCACAGGGCTGATGTGATCTTGGCTGGAGAGCGTCCTCTTCGTCTTGGTGCCTTGTCAGTGTAGAGGGGGTCCCAGACCTGGGCTCAGATCCTGCCTCTGCTGCTTCCCGGCTGAGGGACTTGGCAGTTCTCTGGGGCTCCGTCTCCTCGCCTTAAACATTCCTCCAATTCAGACACCACCTGCCCCAGGGCTGAGTTGAGGATTGGGGGGGATGATTGAGGTAAGAGGCTTAGCACAGGTATGGCGAGTGCTGGGCTTGGGAGGGCCATGAGAAGGCAAAGCATCTCCTTAG